CATAAATGTTGGAACAGTATTCTGAAGTGTTAATTATACTAAAACAAAGTAAATCATAACTATATACTAACATGTTTTCACAAACAAAAATAATTTGTGAATATCCATTAATGTTTGACATAATTGTTACATTAGGTATGTTGCCTATTATAACATAACACTTCAAATATAGTTCACAAAGTTCTTAGTGGAGTTAAATCACAAAGGAAGATCAGAGAATGATTGAATCTGCAAATAAGGCAGGAGAATGAGTATACTTTAAAATTTCATTTTAAATTTCTTAGTTTTCATCTGTGATTTTGATCTGTGTCTTTGACCTTGTTCTAAGCTGATGTGCTGCGCCTCAGTTTACAGAGTGTATCTCTGTTTTGTTGCATCATGGAAAAGGGGAATGGAGTATTGGGATATTACCTGCATGAAAAAGTTACCACTCACCACTGGTTTTATGTATTCTGGACTACAAAATGTACTAGAAATATATACCAACAACGCAAAGTTCTTCACCCATGTTCAAACTCACAGGATCACATTATATGAGATTGATGTTATCTGTGTTTTAAAAGTTTGATGGTATTACGCTTTTTCTATTTACATTAATTGCCACGACAGTCCCCCCAAGTTAGCTATGGTTGAGTACCTTACTCTAAAACCTAATGGTGATAAGGAGAGTGCTATTAGTAACTCTCCTTTCATTAGATCACAGAATAGTGGAATAGGGTGAACAGTATATCGCACTGATTAAACTGGAGGCTGATTTAATGGACCGTGTCATTACAAAAGACTGCTGTTACAATTTAACATAAGGTGATCAATGCAAAAGGACAGTTTTTTGGTAGATTTGCAATGGAGCACTAAAAACAAGCTTTATATTCTCAGTCTGTCAAGTTTATATGATACCACATGCCTCCTAAAAATAAATGTATCAAAACAACAATTAATATTATTGTAATATGCTAATCATAGAATTTTGAAGAAGAAAAAAATAGATGCTGCATTTAACTGGTTTTCTGACTGGTATATAGAAGATATGTTTGGGGGTTTTGCTGGTAATTTGGTCTAGATGATTGATCGGTTGGACTAACAGTACTGACATTAGCTTGTTCTGATAGACTCTATCAGACCAGGTTAATGTCAGCCCTGATTGTCCAATTGATCAATCATCAAGACAAGCGAATTAGCATAAATGAGCGACGTGCTCAAAGTCACACCAGTTGCCATCATAAACCGTAGCTCCAGAAGGGGTGACACAAATGAGCTTTAGCACTGCTATACAATTAAGCTATTAAAGCATATTAGGAAATATCCAGGCTCTAACTTGTATGACATACTATCTCATAATAGCATGATGATTAATGATCCTCAGAACAATTATAGAAAGTTTTCCACTTTGTATTCTTTATAGAAGCTTATGATTAAGAGCATTCATATTTGCTATTGAATTTTCCATGTGATTAGATGTTGAAGTTTGATCATATATATATATATATATATTAGTAATTTAAGAAATGTTAAATAACTTTAGGATACAGCTTCATCAAAGGCATGCCCTTTCATAGTTACTTTCAATCGCTTTGTCATTTCATAATATCTCATATTTTATCACAACTTATTTATTTTGTATTCTGTATTATTAAGCTGTTTGTGAAAGAATAATTTTAGTTCATGTGTATTTCACAAATACATCATTGTGATTATCAGTCAATATGGATCCACTTTGCACATTCTTTGCAAATATTTATTCCTAACCACTACTGATACACAAATGGTTAAAAAAGAGCTTTAGTGTTGTTTGTTGCAATGCAGTGTTTTAAGAGAAAAAATACATCCAAGGGGCCTTTCATCCCAGTGGGCTTTTAGCCTCATTGTACCCCATCATATAGTATGTGCAAGGGACTAAATCTTAGAAAATAAAATAAATTGGGTTCACAAAGAATTATTTAAAGTTGCATACAGTAACTTGGGCAAAAAATAAATAAATAAATAAAAAGAATGAAAAGTATAGACAATAATAGAAACATGTGGAAAAACTATATATATATATAGAGAGAGAGAGAGAGAGCGAGAGAGAGAGAGAGAGAGAGAGAGACGAAGTATTTGCTTTTATTAAGGTACTGTGTTAAAGGAACTATAATGCTTCCTTGCATATAATATTTAGAGATGAAGTGTTATCCTGCTGATGGCTGGCAGAGAACAGAAATATCGAGAGGGCAATGCATGCCGGTAGGTGGCAATCCCACATCGATTTGTGCCAAAAAAAAAAGAAGAAGGAGAAAAAACATTACGGAGAAATACACACATATTAATAAAGCCAAGTTTAAACAAAGATATCACACTGCTCTTTTTGGCTTTTAAACGAAATGAGTAACTAAAGACTGCGCGCGCACACACACAAATGCGCATCATTCAGCAACAGATGCATTTCAAACGCGCAAGTGTCAGGTTTAATATATCATCCGTCAGTCGCTGCAAATATTCCTTTCTCCTTCACCACATTTTCACAGACGGTGCCTCTCTCCGTGTGCTTACACTTTCTATTTACATTTTCTGACGAAACATTTTTTGACGAAACAACGAAGCGATTTGTAAGCAATAGGCTACGAAAGGAGCAGAAAACTGCAGCGCCAAACAAACGTCGCTTTAAACGAGCCCGGACGAGCTGAGCTGAGATTCACGAAGGGAAGGAATGAAGTTTAGTACGCTGACATTAAACGACAGAATTAACAAGAAGATCCCTTAGCAACACGAATTAAAACGTTATTGCTGGATGTTGAGACTCAAGTAGCCTATTCAGTCGAGCCGATGGTTCAACTTTGAGGAGGCTCTGCAGTGGACATCGCTCACGAGAAATGATGAAGGCGAGAGGAAGGAGTGCGCACTCAAGGAGGCTGTGAGGTGATGCTGTGACACATTCAACAGCATTCAGCGGAGTCAGCACGTTGTGTTACATCTATGGACTGCGGTGGTGGATGTGGGCAAGATCTGAGAAGCATGGGGCCAGTATGCGTTGAAGAACGGAGGTGTATGGCAGTGGTTTAAAAAGGCACATCTCGATCAGAGAAACCTACCAAGTACTAACTCTACTGGATTTTACCCAAAGGGAGGCTGTTGATAACCTATGTGGTTTAGACATTTCCTTCACGGATGTGGATACTAGGCTTATTTTATGTGTCCAGCACAACATATCAACGGTGGTAGATTTATCCCCCATTTATTTACAGATTTTTTTAGAAGATTTGTTCTCTTCCAGTCCCCCTCCCCCCTTTTTGCACCTGCTTTGCTTTGTCAAAGCTTACCGAGCGCTTTAGAGCGCTGCTTTTACTTGCATCTCCGTACATCGTGCATGGATTCTACATGAACTGGGGGTTTTGTGAGGACTGCAGTGATGTTCCCATTTACTGATATCGCCTCACAGCTAACATTACCTGACAGAAATGGGTAAGGAACCGTAGCCTACTCTAACCAGTCTGTGCAGATCTATTTTAAAGCGAACCTGATTTCTTAAGTTGACTGTTAATGTATGCATTTCATCTTTTGATATATCTATCTATCTATCTATCTATCTATCTAACTATCTATCTATCTAGCTATCTATCTATCTATCAATGCTGCATTAGCTGTTATGATTTGCATTATTTCTGTGACTGTGATGTGATAGATTTGGGGATATTTTTTCAGCTGTCTTAGGCTTTTCTGTTGCTCTACTTACCATTACTTTTGCTAGAATATGGCGTTGGGTCATTCATATTCTGTTCACATGTGCATTGCTATGCTCGCTTATGATTAAGAGCATTCATATTTGCTATTGAATTTTCCATGTGATTAGATGTTGAAGTTTGATCATATATATATATATATTAGTAATTTAAGAAATGTTAAATAACTTTAGGATACAGCTTCATCAAAGGCATGCCCTTTCATAGTTACTTTCAATCGCTTTGTCATTTCATAATATCTCATATTTTATCACAACTTATTTATTTTGTATTCTGTATTATTAAGCTGTTTGTGAAAGAATAATTTTAGTTCATGTGTATTTCACAAATACATCATTGTGATTATCAGTCAATATGGATCCACTTTGCACATTCTTTGCAAATATTTATTCCTAACCACTACTGATACACAAATGGTTAAAAAAGAGCTTTAGTGTTGTTTGTTGCAATGCAGTGTTTTAAGAGAAAAAATACATCCAAGGGGCCTTTCATCCCAGTGGGCTTTTAGCCTCATTGTACCCCATCATAGAGTATGTGCAAGGGACTAAATCTTAGAAAATAAAATAAATTGGGTTCACAAAGAATTATTTAAAGTTGCATACAGTAACTTGGGCAAAAAATAAATAAATAAATAAAAAGTATGAAAAGTAAAGACCATATTTGGAACATGTGGAAAAACTATATATATATATAGAGAGAGAGAGAGAGAGCGAGAGAGAGAGAGAGAGAGAGAGAGACGAAGTATTTGCTTTTATTAAGGTACTGTGTTAAAGGAACTATAATGCTTCCTTGCATATAATATTTAGAGATGAAGTGTTATCCTGCTGATGGCTGGCAGAGAACAGAAATATCGAGAGGGCAATGCATGCCGGTAGGTGGCAATCCCACATCGATTTGTGCCAAAAAAAAAAGAAGAAGGAGAAAAAACATTACGGAGAAATACACACATATTAATAAAGCCAAGTTTAAACAAAGATATCACACTGCTCTTTTTGGCTTTTAAACGAAATGAGTAACTAAAGACTGCGCGCGCACACACACAAATGCGCATCATTCAGCAACAGATGCATTTCAAACGCGCAAGTGTCAGGTTTAATATATCATCCGTCAGTCGCTGCAAATATTCCTTTCTCCTTCACCACATTTTCACAGACGGTGCCTCTCTCCGTGTGCTTACACTTTCTATTTACATTTTCTGACGAAACATTTTTTGACGAAACAACGAAGCGATTTGTAAGCAATAGGCTACGAAAGGAGCAGAAAACTGCAGCGCCAAACAAACGTCGCTTTAAACGAGCCCGGACGAGCTGAGCTGAGATTCACGAAGGGAAGGAATGAAGTTTAGTACGCTGACATTAAACGACAGAATTAACAAGAAGATCCCTTAGCAACACGAATTAAAACGTTATTGCTGGATGTTGAGACTCAAGTAGCCTATTCAGTCGAGCCGATGGTTCAACTTTGAGGAGGCTCTGCAGTGGACATCGCTCACGAGAAATGATGAAGGCGAGAGGAAGGAGTGCGCACTCAAGGAGGCTGTGAGGTGATGCTGTGACACATTCAACAGCATTCAGCGGAGTCAGCACGTTGTGTTACATCTATGGACTGCGGTGGTGGATGTGGGCAAGATCTGAGAAGCATGGGGCCAGTATGCGTTGAAGAACGGAGGTGTATGGCAGTGGTTTAAAAAGGCACATCTCGATCAGAGAAACCTACCAAGTACTAACTCTACTGGATTTTACCCAAAGGGAGGCTGTTGATAACCTATGTGGTTTAGACATTTCCTTCACGGATGTGGATACTAGGCTTATTTTATGTGTCCAGCACAACATATCAACGGTGGTAGATTTATCCCCCATTTATTTACAGATTTTTTTAGAAGATTTGTTCTCTTCCAGTCCCCCTCCCCCCTTTTTGCACCTGCTTTGCTTTGTCAAAGCTTACCGAGCGCTTTAGAGCGCTGCTTTTACTTGCATCTCCGTACATCGTGCATGGATTCTACATGAACTGGGGGTTTTGTGAGGACTGCAGTGATGTTCCCATTTACTGATATCGCCTCACAGCTAACATTACCTGACAGAAATGGGTAAGGAACCGTAGCCTACTCTAACCAGTCTGTGCAGATCTATTTTAAAGCGAACCTGATTTCTTAAGTTGACTGTTAATGTATGCATTTCATCTTTTGATATATCTATCTATCTATCTATCTATCTATCTATCTATCTAACTATCTATCTATCTAGCTATCTATCTATCTATCAATGCTGCATTAGCTGTTATGATTTGCATTATTTCTGTGACTGTGATGTGATAGATTTGGGGATATTTTTTCAGCTGTCTTAGGCTTTTCTGTTGCTCTACTTACCATTACTTTTGCTAGAATATGGCGTTGGGTCATTCATATTCTGTTCACATGTGCATTGCTATGCTCTAAAGAGACAAGGGGAAAGAGGCAGTGTATCCATGATGGTCGACACAACTGTTTCTCATTGCTTCTAATAGACCCCAGTGACTTTTGAGGCTTCTTGAATAGGCTACAGAATAAGCAAATGTTATTAGTTAACAAATTGCATCATAACCATTTTATAATTTATTTCTCAGTGGGAAAAAAAACAGGAAGTTCCAGGAAGGCTGTCAGCTCACACTGGTGCTAATCTGCATTTAACATTCAACCCTCACAATGCTTTAGAACTTCACTAAGGAAGAGAGGTGCTGTAATGGACACTATAAGCAAGTTGGATTCATTGGAAAAGCTTCTGTGCCATGTATTGGTTTTTGAAAGAGCTTACGTAATTTATGATGGATGATTCATGGATTCGTGGGTTGTTGCTTTACCAGTGGTGTTGAGGTTTGAGGAGCTGTCTCTTTTGGGAAGGTGCTGAAAACCATTACTGTTTATGGTAGGAAAGAACATTATTAGAATGTTAAATAAAATGGGCTGCAACAATTATCATTTTATTGTGTTATGTACGTACATAGATAACTATGCAAGCAAAAGTATTGGTTAATTTTGTTGTATAAAAAGTTTGTTGTACAAATAAGACTTAAATGCGCAAATTCATGCTTTTCATTTTCATGGATGTCCTTAATGCATACTTTCCTTCAAGCATTCTTAAGCTCCTAAAATGAAAGAGTTACAGAGCAGCAACAATATTTGACAAGTTAATGCTTGCAGATATAATAAAGATTCTCTCTGTGTTAGATTAATATACTAAATGGGCTTTAACTTTCCCTTTCACTGCAAATAATCCATGACAGATGTTCTGAGCATTTTCAGTCCACTGTGGACTATAATCATTTTAGCCAGCTTAAATGAAAGCATCAAATACCTCAATTACAGTATTTTAGGGAAAATTAATTCTCTAAAATTAAATGTGTGATTAAAATCACATCCATTGGGGTCACGATTAAAAAAAAATTGTTATATTTGCCGTTCGCAAGAATCGAGTGCTACTGTTTCCAGTAAAGTATCTCCTGACAATCACACCTTTCTGTTGTAGAAACATTCTTTCTCTCTTTTCTGAGATTGTGACCTGAAATTAATTCTTGGGCTGGACATTCCTTATCCCCAAGCTTTTTTTTGATTGATAATATGTCACAAGCAGTTAAAAGAAACAAGGTTCAATGTGTAATGCAGGCACTGGCGTGCTGTCATGAAGATGAGTGTTAATGTATTGAATGTGTCTGCTGAGCCAAAAAAAATGCCAGATATCTTTCAGTTCCCCTAAGGCAAAGGAGGAGCCTGTAAACGAGATCATTTATCTAATATCACACACATTAACCTCCGTAATCTCTGCCATTTAGAGAAAAATGAAGCTGTTGAAATGCTTCTGCCCACCCTGATGCTTCATAAAGACCATCTCTAATGTGGGTCAGGCTGTGCAAAATGAAAAAAAAGTTTAATGACATAGACCGAAGAGATTGTATAGACTAGCTTCTTCTAAAGATGCAAAAGATGTACTAAAAACGATAAGGATTGCGCTGTGGCAAATTTGTAAATGTCATTTTTTCTCTCTCTCAGTACTGGAGTGTTAATGCAGTGAGGCCGAATGAATGACCGCACCACTGGTGTACTGTTCTCGGGTCAGAGGAAGTGCTGTTAGACAAGATATAATCCAGCCAGCAGTGGGCCCTGCTTCTGCCAAACACACAGCCACACTGGCTTTCTCTTTAAAACTGGTGTTTTATTAATCGTGCGGCATCTCTATTACTCTGTCCCAGCAGAAGTTAAAGTAACAATAGTACAATGATGGAATTTTAATTGGGATAAATGTCTGACTTCCTCTTTAGCTAAAATGTTTGACCTTTGGACCATTACTGTAGAATCGATAACACTTGTTACAGTAGATGCATTCATGTTTATGTCTGCCATTGTAAAATGGCAACAATAAACATTAAATTAATTTGTGGTTATTGATTAAATTTATCTGTTGTGTTTGAAGACAATATCATACACTACACATCCCAAATACCATATTAGCAAAGATACACTATAAAAAAGATATGTTTTGAAGTTGTAAATAAAACATGTCTTTTTCTACTTCAAAATTTCATGTTTAATTCAAAGTTTTACTTGCAGTTTCTTTGTAATTTTTTTGTGAAATTTACTATCAATTTAAATTCAAATTAAATCCTGCACCATATTTTTTTCAGTAGTCAATCAGCTTATTGAAAAGAAAAAAAAATTTGAATTACGTCTTTCTGTTGAAATGCATTCTGCCAATGAATTAAAGAATCATTCTGCTAAAAATACTGGAAACAAGACTACAAGGCACAAGCTTGTAGCTTTGTTTATCCTGTAACTTTTAACAATCCTATATCTGATCTAGTACCCAGGATGAAGAAACCCTCTGGTTTTTATGTGTTTTATTCAGGCTTTATGTTCATGTTTAATAAGGTCTCCAGAGGCAAATTCTTGCTGATGATAATTCTGGAATCACCAAAGGCTGTTGCTGGGTCATGTGGCCTCTGTGAATGCCTGTTCACATTACTCTTCTGTGAATTTGAACTGGAGCGAAGATATCATGGTTTATTACCTGCAGTATGTTGGTTGTCACAGTAGATCTCCCTTAACAATTTAGACTGCGCTGAGGTGAATGTGCTCCTGGAATGGCCTAACCTGGTTTCCTTGCTCATTGCCTACTTGCCTGCCGAGTAATATTGGGGTCATGGGTTCAAATCCCACTTGGAGCCATAGCAAAATTCATCAAGCATATATGTAATGAGCTACCCTGCATAGTGACACAAGCTAACAATTAGATCCATCCAAAATGGCTTCTTTTATAGACTCGTGAAGCTGTGAGAACTGATATATACTAAGCACACACTATTGACGTTTTTTGCTCAAACACATTTTAGATCCTTCATCGTCTCTTTTATTATGTGATAGTGCAATTAATCAGTTGTTAATGTAGACATCAGTCTGTGATTTATAATTAGTCTGCCTGTGGTCACTGCAAGGAGCAGATCGCCTAATGTGAATTACGTAAGAAAAAGATGTAGGTCTCAGGGAACAGGATGCAGCCTAAATGGCTACAGATAAATGATGGAGTGAACATGCTGCACTGGTTTTAGTTCTGCAGCAGATGTCTAATGCCATACGCGGATACAAAAACCCTTTCTGACAGACATTTGGCGCGCTGGAGAGGAGCCAGGGTGTTGCACAGATGCATAGGAACGGAGGGGTTAGAGTTTGTGCATTTTGAATCTATGGAGATAGGTCTTTGAGCAGCTTATTAAGCAAACCTCTCATTTCAGTGAAAATGAAAATGGACTCCCATACCCTCAGGCCTCGGTAACTGTAATAAATGTCTGTGCATTTGAAGTACTAAGGCTTTGCGGCTCAGTCAGAGCCCACCATAGAGATTGTGCCGTCACACAATAGCGACAGCCTCCGTGTTGATTGTTAATTCAGAAATCCTATGTCAACACTATATCCTACAGATGAGCCAAATGGCATAAATTGTACTGTTCAGAGAGATTAGTCAGTGGAGACAGAGAGGGAGGTGACAGACATTTGGCGCACTGGAGAGGAGCCAGGGTGTTGCACAGATGCATAGGAACGGAGTGGTTAGAGTTTGTGCATTTTGAATCTATGGAGATAGGTCTTTGAGCAGCTTATTAAGCAAACCTCTCATTTCAGTGAAAATGAAAATGGACTCCCATACCCTCAGGCCTCGGTAACTGTAATAAATGTCTGTGCACTTGAAATACTAAGGCTTTGCAGTTCAGTCAGAGCCGTCATAGAGATTGTGCTGTCACACAATAGCGACAGCCTCTGTGTTGATTGTTAATTCAGAAATCCAATGTCAACACTATATCCTACAGATGCGCCAAATGGCATAAATTGTACTGTTCAGTGAGATTAGTCGGTGGAGACAGAGAGGGAGGTGTTCTCAGCTCAGCTTAGCTAAGCTTATAAATATGACTTTGCCTTGATTGCACTGTGTGTTTGTCATCACCGCCGTGGAAGGCACAGTACAAATCTGGGTTGCTCATTATATTGGAACCCCTTTTCAAACAGCCACCCTCCCCTCCCCTAGAGGATGTCTTCTCCCACTCTCAGCATATTTCAGATATGGGAGAGGAACTTGAAGGCAGTTGGCTTTTTCAAGCCTCTCAGATCATTTGGCCTGGATTCACAAACAGAAGTGTGTCAAAGAGATCCGTGTCTTTGAGGCTGATAAATCACAGACTTCCTAGAATACATACTGTTGTGACAGGGTCCTGGGTCGAAGCTTGTTCCACAATAAAGACATTTGCCAACCAACAGACTCTCCTAATATGATGGCAGAGGCGGATATAGATCGAAACAGCTTGGCATCTCGGCAGACACATACTGACACATACTGCTATCCATGAGACAGCATCTGGACAGAGTGGTTGAGTAGCAAATGCTGTAAGATGTAAATACATTCACTCTGTCTTGATGCTTTTGGTTTAGGTAATCAAATTGCCATTTAATCAAAAAGCATCTATTATCTGTTTGTCTGTCTGTCGTTCTATGATACTGTTGTCCTATCGTTTTATTTGTTCCTTAAGGCCTATAATACTTCAGATTTTAAGGCTTTTAAAACTTGTTTCAAA